GAGGGTTGGATAGAACCGAGTAAAGGGAGGAGTTTAACCTTTGAGACAGATAGATAGTATACTTCGAGCCTTTGGAATTCCCGTCATTAATCGCAGCCCGCCGGCAAACAAACACAGGTCGACCTAAAGGTAATTTTACGGTCTGATTCTGGTTTGGCGATTGATGGAAAGTTCCCAGGTATGAGTAAATATTAATTATAATCTTGTATACATAGGTTAGGAAGTTAAGCGTAGTCTATACTACCTTTCCTAATTTGTCTACACATTCTGCTTGAAATAGTTCTTTGTGAGAATTCAGTATCTCAAGTTAGGGAACTGCTAAACTATTCCTATTTCTTGTATGTTTGTGTCACATGTTTTTCAGTGTATGTTTTCATGTGTATAAAATAAGATGTGAACAATGACTTTTGCTATAATGAAATGTAATTATATTGTTTCCATGATCAACCCAAAACAGTGCTGGGACTGTGGGAAATCATGCCCATATGCGCAGAGTTTTAATAGCTCAACATGTGCTCACTGGAAAGACAATATTCCAGACACCATGCACATATAACAGGGTTGGAGTTTTCAGCACATAACCTGCTCCACGTGGTCATGTAATATCAATGTCAGCCAGTTGGAAGTCTGAGTGAAGACGGACAACAGACTTAGAAAGTCAACTATCATGACATAGCATGAGAGGGAAGGCAGGATATGTGACGTCCATGTAAGACAAAAGAGCTTCAGACTAGACTGGAGAGAATGTGGAATATGAGGAGGAGTGATGGGATATATTTTGTTATTATGTGTTATATTAATTGATACATGTATTCTTAGTGTAAGTCAAGATACTACACGTATGTGTTTGTTTCCATGATTACAGCGCCCATGTGACGATCAGTCCATGAAGGAGACTACATTGTGTTAGACTCGGCCAGCTGGGAACGAGGTGGAGAACGAGGTGGGGACGAGCAGGGACCGAGGTGGAGGACCAGGAGAACTGGGGGAAAAGGTGGAAGAACTTGACAGTACCCACGGCTGTCAGAGGTTCTATGATAATAAAGTTACGTCTCACCATGTTTTATGGATGTAAACTTATCACCACCATTATCCATTCACTCTAATCTTAGGTGCTCAGTTATCAAGCTGAAGCCTCTCAGTATCACCATACCATCACTATCTATTATAACAATAATGATGACTAATGTCATACTCTGATTGCTAGGTTAATAAATCAAATGTATGGTCTTATTCTGCATGTTTTTGTAATTCCAAATGTGTCTGTTTTTACCCGTTTAACTAAACTGTTAAGATAGAATACCATTTGGTGGGGGCTCAAATAATAATGATAATAATTCCTTAATTATTAATAATAATACCGGGAGAAGGTAAGACGGAGGAATCATTTGCCCTGTCTAATAATTCATTCAGTATAATGCTATAGACATCTAAAATTCCTTTCCTTCTCTTGTGGGTACCAAGTGCAGCTAATGTTAATGTACTTAACGAGCCAATATGGCTGTTTTCTTGGGTATCCAGGACTTTGTCTGAGAGCAACATAGCTCAGATTTTAGTTCGGTTAATCTGGTGGAGGGAATGTGTTGAGAGGAAAATCCTTACTCAACGTATAAAACATATAATCCACCGCGTCACGTCACACTCCATATCATGCCATAATTTTCCATAGTAATAGTCTGTCGACTCTGTCAAATGCCTTCTCCTGGTCTACGAATGCCACAAATAAGTTCTTATTGTATTCAATGTTCTTTTCTATTAACTGTTTAAGTGTGAAGATTGCATCTGTGCAGCTTCTATTTCTCCTAAATCCCATCTGTTCTTCTGCCAGCTGTGGTTCTATCACTGGTCTCAGTCTTGTTTCTATTATCTTACATACATTTTGCCAGCATGGCTTAAAAGAGAGATGCCTCTATATTGACCGCATTCTCGTTTGCTTCCTTTGTTCTTCCACAATGGTATAACTATTGCATGTTGCCAATCAATAGGGCCGTTTGTTGTACCCATGCTGCATTGAATATTCTGTGAAGCCATCTGATGCTGCTTTCACCTGCTGCTTGAATTATTTCTGTTGGTAATCTATTAGCTCCTGGTGCTTTATATTTGGGAGACTGTTTAATGACTTTTTCTATTTCATCCATTAGTATGTGTGGTTCTAACACTGTTGCTCTGTGGTCTTCAGTTGTTCTTTCCTGATGATCTCCTAGAGGATTAAAGAGCTCATTGAAGTATTCCCTCCATCTCCAGCCAAGTGTGCCTATGAATATTATATATTTTGTAGTGCCAAAACTCCAAAACTTGAGTTGCCCTACTCCTGAAATAAGTTGAGCGTATATTGGCCACGGGGCATCCCTTAGTCACTGTATTTTTCGAGCTTATACATATGGCTTTCGTCCATTCGCGACTCATACAGCATGGTCAGCTCAATCAAGATGAGCTAACGTTTCTCCACAGAGTGGAGAACTATGTCGGGTCGCAGGCCAGTAAACTTTAGTCTGCGAGGTAAAAAGGCCGATCGAATGGCTGCTGCCGTTACTCTCGGTGGTGAGTTTCTTAATGGTGAAAGCTCTGTTGTGTAAAGTGAACTGTGCAACAGAATATAGAAAGCATCCGTGCCTCGAGGGACTGATTCAGCAGGGGTGAGTAGGAGGTTCTGTGCGATATTAAACTCTAGGGGGAAAAACAAAGGCGGAATTTTAATCAGGCTGCAATTGGGGCATGGGAAGTCTTCGTTGGCTATAGAGGAAGGTGAAAGCGTAGTGGGGCTTACATTGCCTGATAAGACTCAGATCAGACTGCATACCATGGATATGCAGAAACATAGTAACACACTTAAAAGCCCAGTAACGCACCATGTGTGCCCGAGGAAGGACACGGGGCAAGTATAGAGATGTCCAGAGAGCAATGATGTCCTTTCTATATTGATTCATCCATTCAGTTTTAGTAAATGCGCCTGGTACCAATTTATACGAAGTTGGGTCAACCCCAGAACAGTACTTATTGGTTTAAAAAAAAAAAACCTGCCGCTCCCGGGGATCGAACCCATAGCACTGTCTAGCTCTAGACAGGCAAGCGTACTACATTAACCACTGTCACTGCGGCTCTCATATTTATTATTGGAAATTTAAAAACTAGGAACAGTTTCCGTGACGCCATTTCTTGAAGAAGACTGGATATTGGTGTGATTGCAGCGGCTTTCCAATAATTGAAGTGTTTCATTTGTACCTGCCTGTCAAATAGCGGCTTTCAGCAAATAATGGGTCTTTCTATTTCATCTATATTTAATCGTTTATTTACGAAAAGGAGCATGAGGATATTGATGGGTAATGGACTCGACTATTCATTCACATGAATTCCTGAGAATGCAGAATGAATGGAATTGAAATAAAATAAAAATGTGTTTGTTATGTTTAACTGTTACCTTACCATGGGACAATAGCATTGGTATACAGTGTATACATAATACTGAACTTTAAATTTATGGATTTGTTATTATTATTATTACAACCAAGTAATAATAAAATAATTCAGTAATTCACCAAGAAACTGCAACTCGCCTTTGGTTTGTTGGATTCATACTGACTGACATTCTGTTTTAAATTTAATGAATAATTTATTGTTAATTATTTTTACACAGACAACGAACTGCAATTTTAGTACTTTTAGTGCAGGTCTATTTCTTTTAATCTTTTCACACTTCTGATGGCTGCCATGCAGTACACAGACAACTCAATTTAAAAAATCAGGGTAAAGCACATAGCTGACAGGTCACCCCACAGTTGCTCGGTTCTTTCTTGTGCCAAGAACAACAAAATAAAAAATACACACAAATGCCCATTCATTGCTATGTGCCCGTTTACTGCTGTCCTTTTGGGAAGGGGGTGGGGGGCACTTAATACACATACACAATCTTGGCAAAACCAGTAGCATACACATTTACATAAACCAGCCGACCAATATCAAAGTTCACTGAAATCATCAACTCTTCTTTTGTTCAAATGTTAAACTGTATGGTGTGTCAGCCTTCTCGGTTCTCCTTAAAACTACGGCCACTTATTATGGAGTATGCCAGAGTTAAGTCCCCTGGCCGCATTGCAGTTACGGAGTGGACAAGAGGGTATGACACAATTGACATAATTACTGTGTGTTTGCGATAGATGCACTGCTGTCATAATAGGGTTAGGGTTTGGGTTAGGGGTAGGGTTAGGAGTGGCTGTAGTTTTAAGGAGTACCAATACCCTAACCCTAACCTTAACCCAAACCCTAACCCTATTATGACAGCAGTGCATCTATCGCCAACACACAGTAATTACCTCATCGGTTCACGCTGTCTATCGCCAACACACAGTAAGTACGTCATTTGTGTCGTTCCCTCTTGTCCACTCCATAATTGCACTGTGGCCAGGGGACTGAACTCCGGCGTACTCCATAATAAGTGGCTGTAGTTTAAAGGAAAACCACCTTCTCTCATATGTGCTGAAAATCATTTTTGATACAGATCTTTGCCCATAGTAAGAAGCTGAGCTGTTTAACATTCTGTAACTTTCCTGGTCTCTTCCTGCCTCTCCTTCCCTAGAATGTTCCTGTTATAATAATAACAACATACTTCAAATATTTTTGTGACATGACCATTGAATGAGGATTCTCAACTTTTGATGGAGGTAGCCAGTTCTGTCTGAGTTTTGTAAAGTCTCCAAAATGGAAAACTGATTAATTGTAAGATTTCATGTTAATTTCCATTTTAGAATTTGGTTTAGAGCCTGACTTACCAGATACAGTATCATGTTGTTTTTGGTTCTTATTAAATAGATATCCAATTCGTGTACATGTTTAATTTTTTTTTCTTTTATTTTATTTAATTTGGATGCTACTAGAAAGACTACCGTACAGATAAAAATTATATGCAGTTCATGTATATGTTTTCTTACCTTTGTGTTACTTCATTTGCAGTCAGTGTTGCTGGAAAACTACTGTACTGTACAAAGATTATCCAGTCCATGTATATGTTTGCTTTCTTTTCTATTATTTCAGTTGGTCTGGATGCTGCTGGAAAGACAACTATACTATACAAATTAAAACTAGGGGAGATTGTGACAACTATTCCAACAATAGGTAAGTTATTTGTCTGCTCTTAACATTTTCAGTCTTAAGGAATGCACCATACATTCATAGATTCCTACCTAGAAGTCCAGTGAAAGCAGGATGTGCCAGTTATACAGTTCTCTTTCCCACCCCTTGGACCATTGATGTTTAACCCCCTGGGACTGAAAGAGTTAACCTGTTCCTGGATCCTCAGTAAGAGATGAATTTTTTTTCCAGCAGCAAAACTAAAAATTCTAACCAGCCCCCTGTGAGAAGTAGGAAGGGTTAAAGCACTTTGAGGGCAGTGAATCCACATCACTCGTCAGAATGATAGACGTGGGAGTTAAGATCAGCATAGCAGAAAAGGAGACGCACACCAGGCACATCAGAGGTCTTGTTAATCAATATAAAACTGGTACTATTAGCCACTGGACGCTGGAGATCATACTAGGTTAGGATCTGAGCACCTACGGACATGTCCGAAGTGCAATGCTGATATCCCAACTAACTATCAAACAAATTCTAATCAGTATAGTTGTGACTGCACTGGCCATGCAGCTTCACATCATCAGGTTCAAGACAACTCACCCCCCCCCCCCCACCCCCTTCCCCTGTTCTGTTCTGCTGTAAAAATGGTGAATGCAGGCAGTAAGGATAAGTTGTCTATTTTTGTTACTGCATTGCAGTTCTCATGAAGATGTAGGTGCTCTGCAGCAGTTTCAGGGACCCCCTAGAGCTAGTGGTTGGTACTGGTACGACAGTGCAATTATTAAAAGTGTTGGGTGGAGTTGAGTTAAACACTGACATCACAGCACTCTCGACATTCCTATAATTCCACACATCTGCGCAACTGTGTCGCCCATTGGCTTGCTGGTAGACGCCAGTCTGGACATTATATGGGTCTTTCTCTTTCATTGCATCAGTACTGCAGGAGTCTTTTTCAAGGCTCTTGGCTCTTGGTGCAGTGCTGAGCCATTTTAAATGGTGGTGCACATAACCTAGTCACAATGTACGCTAAAGCTCCCCCCTATGGGGATGCTAGTTGAACATGACAGTTCTTTTTTCAGCAAAGCACCTACCTAACCTAGTTTCATTTCCATTGGTAGCAGTAGCATTAGCAGTCTGATAGTATATCCATCCTGCCTTTCCTTGGAATACTGAACATCAGCCAGATCCCCCAGTCACCCCCAGCTTCACCAGTATCTCCAGACAGTGATGATCTGAGCTTCCGCATTGATTATTCAGTTCCAAAGGGCCTTGACCAGACATAGAAGTGATGAATGAGAGGTTTGTTGCTGAAGAAGGACCTTTTTAAATAATGGGCCTAACTGTTCTGAGTTCTTATTCATAATTCACACAGTACTATATAACAAATTGTCTGGTAATCTGGTAATCCTAGTTACAGTCATAGCAAACGGGTCACCCCACAGATGCTCTGCTCCTGTGCCAACGAAAAACAAACGCAGCTCACAGTGTCACACCATGCACTCAACTCAGAAGCTGGGCGACGAAACTACATCCTTCCAGTCTACAAATGGAGCAAAAATGCAACGGCCACCGTCTGGCCAAAAAAAAAAAAAAACATTTGCCACGGCTTTAAAAAAAAAATTTAAAAAAAAAGGTGGCCGTGCCTAGCGTCAATTTTGACCGGAAGAATTATATGAGGGTTAATTAACGGTCACCCCAGCAGTACCCTCATTATTAGCTGGGGAAGGGGCTTAGGACATTACATCCACCAGCAGGCGTCGCCCCTACAACGACCTGCCTGCCATCGTTAACGACTGTTCACCCAACAGCCATGCAGTTATTTGGCACGAAGGAGACACCTTGAACTTGGGTTTCGTACTGCCGACTCCCTACGAAGATGTTATTTTATGTTTTGTTATCACAATTAATGTCACTGCACATTGGGCATACCCATGCGTGCTCAGTTCTCCGAAGCAGCAGCCACTCCAAAGTACTTCTACTAATTGTCCCCATGAGAAGCTGGTTATATTGTCTCCTTTCTCGGCCTCGAAGACGGCAAAGACGTGCATCACCATGCTTAACTCCCATGTCATGCAATCATGTTAGTGTCAGGGATTCTTCATTCTCCACTAGCCCAGTTCGTACAGCGTTGACTAAATCTGCTCTGTCCATACTTTTTCCCGCAATCATTAGTGCAGTGCTTGCCACTTGGTCTGCTCGCTTATTTCCCTTCACGCCTGCATGACCCGGTGTGTAGATCCAGGTTACGGAGGTTAAGTGCGATTTCCAAATGCTTTCTATCCATTCAGAGCGCATACTGCCTGTTGCTATATTCTGAAGCATATTCATTGAGTCTGAGACCATTACTGCCTGTGTGGAGGTTTGCTCGGATACCCATGCTAAAGCTCTAGAAGCAGCGGCTATTTCCATTGTCATGCTTGACGTGGTTGTCTGGTAAGCGCCACTGTCCTCATGTATTGTTTTCCCCCTTTTTTGTGCTGTGTATGCCCATGCTGACCTTGATCCGCGCTTCACGGATCCATCTGTGTAGATGATGGTATCTTCTGGGTCTGAATGCTGATCTATCAGTTCCCTTACTTCTGTGTCTACGGCCGCAGGAATTTGATCCCTGCAGTACCTTCCGAGTGTGATGACAACCTTAGAGATGCCATGCATGTCTACTGGTGTATTCGTCCATTCTTTTCCGTGGCTGATCACGTCTAGGTCACATACCTGCTGGATTAAGTCCTCAGCCTTTGCCATCCAAGAGCGGCCTCTTTTGAGACGCATTCCTTTTGTCTCATGAATAGCTTTGTGTAATGGGTGGTTAACGTCTGCCGATACCCTCATGTAAGCCTTGACCTGTGCCACTTTGTATCTGCTTGTCATATTCGGCAGACCCAGGACATAACGCATGGCGCTGCAGGAGGTGTCTTTTGTGCAGCCGAGTATGAGTCTCATGGCCTCATTCTGTACTCGGTCCAGTCTTTCTAGCTGGGTTTTGCTGACAGTGAGGAGGCCAAGACCATAGTCAATGACGCTAAGCACAAGCCCTTAATAAAGAAGGAAAAGTAGGCGTTGTTCAATATCAGCTGCTGCTAGCACCTTGAGTGCTGTCAAACCTTTCCTGGCTCTAAGTATGATGTTGTCTACGTGGCATTTGTATGACAAGCATCTGTCAAATGTCATGCCCAGGTATTTCATGGTGTCTGTTCTCTCCATGTCCACACAACAGATGCTTACGACTGGCGTTGGTGTACTCACGATGTGGGTATTCAGAGAGAACCATGTTAAGGAGGCTTTAGACGTGTTCACATGAGCTCTTGATTCCTGGCACCACTCACTAAGTCTGTCTAGTTTGTGTTGTAGTGTGGTTGTAATTTCCTGCCTGTTTTTACCTCGACGGTAAACAAGGATATCATCTGCATACAACATTGTTCTGCCTAGGCCTACGCGTTGTGCACTAGTGACTCCTGCTGTGTACACATTGAAGAGCACAGGCGACAATGGTGATCCCTGGGGCAGACCCATTAGGACGCATTGAGGTTCGGATGCCCATTCACCACATCGAAGCGACACTATTCTTTCAAATAGCGCTGCTGCGATCCAGTTGACCAAATTTGTTTCTATCTGCATATCCAACAGCAGTCTGATGAGCATGTTGTATGGGACGCTGTTGTACGCATCTTCTAAGTCAATAGCGGCTGCAGCCGTTTCTATTCCCTCCTGGAAACCCTCATATGTGTCGTAGGCAAATACTGCAGCATTGCACCATGTATCTCTTCCTGGTCGGTACCCACCTAGTGTAGCGGGGAATAGGCCACCCGACTCCAATATTTGGGTTAACGTTCTGGCAACGATTTTTTCCATGAGTTTTCCTACAGTGTTCTGGAGTGTGATGATTCTGTAGCCATTTATTCTCGTGTGGTCTTTTCCTGGCTTAGGAACCGGTCTGAGGTAGCTGTGGAGCCAGTCATCAGGAATAATGCCAGTTTTCATGGTGTTGTTAAAAATCGTGGATAGTTCATCAATATCTGTCGCCTCGAGGCTTTTGAAGTGGCTGTATCTAATGCCATCAGGCCCTGGAGCTGTGTCTGGACAGGTCTTCAGTGTTGCTCTGATGCAGTCGGTTGAGATGTATACTGTATCATCGACTTCCTCCATTTCAGCCATTTTATATATAATATAAACTCTGTCTCATCTGTTCCCTCTCTTCCCTATCTTTCTTTTCCATCTGCAGAAGAAATCTGTGCAGGATAGCCTCGCCCTTGTCTTTATCCGATTGTAACACTACTCCGTTGTCCATCTTTAGCTCGGGCATAACAGAGGTTTGTTTGCCTCCTTTCATCTTTTGGTGAAGCCTCCAGAATTTTTTGAGTGATTTTTCATAACCTATTTCTTCGCAAAAATGTTCCCACATTGTGTGCTTAGACTCCTTTGCGAGTTGTTTAAAATGTTCAGTGAGTCTGTCTCTTTTGTGTTTAATGTCTTGTTTCAGCGCCTCAGTAAAATTCGAAGACTTTCTGCATTTCTCCCAGTCTTTGGTGGCACCTCGTTTCTCTGTCCAGGTTTCTGTGACTTCAGGTGTCCACCACGGGGGCTGTTGAAAGATAGCTTTCTTCTTTCCCGGTGTTCTGCGTGACCTGTCTCGCAGACGCCCAATTACATTAGGCTGATGTGCAGCGTACTGGAAAGTAATGGCTGGTCTCTGATACCTTGTGCAGATTGTTTGTTTGACCAGAATCCAAAATGAAAGGTGGTCGCTTCCATGATGTCCCAGTACGCCCCACTGGCAGAGTACACTCATACAGCGTGAGATCAAGGGCACTGTCAGTATCACCTTCTCTGTCGGGGATTCTGGTGGGTCTGCCATCATTCAAGCAGATTAAATCCATGTCTGTTAGTGCTTCCTCCAGTGCCTCGCCCTGTTTATTGACCGTCGGATTGCCCCATAGACGACCTTTGGCGTTGAAGTCCCCCACACATAATGATGTCGGTGGTTATCTGCTCGCACATGTCACTTAATATTGTCCACTTTTCTTTGTCAACTTTATCATTACAGGCATAAATGTTGATTAGAGTGAAAGGTTTACTCCCGTCTACCTTTACGGCCTGGACCTGAATGTCGCTGTTGTTCCATGCACTTGTGTCTACAACTGAGGATGTTATTCTGCGCCTGACCAGGATCGTTTGGCCTAGGTGTTTGCTGTTGTAGTACGTTTGGAAGCCTGAGACATTCAGAGCTTCTTCTGATAAAAAATTGTATAGTACTATATAAAAAGTATGGTCAAAGAACTGAACAGGCAGAGAACGAACGAATGAACAAACTTTATTTTCAAAGAGTTACAAATTGGGCACGCAAGCCCGTCTGACATTCGGCCCTTCTGAGCACTCATCTTTCAGAGTAACAATGCCTGTTATCAATAATGCATGTTTATAATTTAAAAAAAAGATCAAGACTGAGTTATGAGTTAGATTATCTTCACAGCACTCCGGACACATCCATAAGCGCTCAGGTTCCCCTCTCAACATATTTATCAGGGTCACACGGTTAATAGCGCCAGTCCTATGTTGGTTAACAAGACTTTGTGAGCATCTGGTGTGTTACTTTTGTACACTTTGATTTGAGCAGATTGTAAATTTGCTGTAGCCCTACTATATCAATCAAGCTGAGGCTTTCTCCACAGTGAAGTTTGACTGCAGTGGATCTCCAACACACTTTGACTTTTGCCTTGGATGTAGACTCTCTTAGGCTGCTGTTCAGCATCTCTTGATGGCATTTTCCAATCTATATCACTGACTGCCTCCTGCTCACTTGTCTTGAACATTTCCTAAGAAAGTTTTTTTAATGATTATTTAGTCTCTTAATATGGCCAAAATATTTTACTTGTCTCTTTATTATTTCTTTTAACAACTCGCTTTTCATTCTCAGCTGTCCTACCACATAAAACTGGTGGTGTCACTGTTTAATACAAGAATATGTAGCAAGCAATGTCTTGTCACAGTTGAGTTGCCAACTGGTGTAAGTGATGATGCTTCTGCATAACGCTTGTCCTCTAGCAGTATATATAAATATATAGATCAGTATATGTGTTGGAATCTGTCCTAGCCATTACAACATCTGTTAACAGTTTTTTTGTTGTTACTAAGTGGGTTGAATGACTGATAAATGAACAAATGTGATGAATAAACAAATGTGATGAATTAACAGATGTGATAAATGAACAAATATGATGAATTAACAGATGTGATAAATTAACAAATGTGATCAATGAACAAATGTGATAAATTAACAAAGAGAACAAAGAGGCTACTTACATAGATCAGTAAAAAAATAAAAATACTTTCATGGGTTAGTGACTGCATGAAGAAAAACACACTTCAAGAGAAAAAAAAAAAACAGGGAGAGGAAGAAGGGGTAGGCCATTAACTACTGTTGTAGTACAGAGATGCACAGATCTGACAATAAAGACGTATAGTAATGGAGACAGTTGCACAAGACAGACACTTATGGAATACTCAGAAGCTTTGCAGCTCAGCCAAATGCTGAAATTCTTGATGATGATAATGTCTATTTCTGTGTTTATTTTCCCCCTTTAATCTTACAAACTTTTACCATGTGTTCCAGTTGTTGATTTAGTCAAACAATTGTTGACTGTTTCCTTCTAATACACATATGATATGTGACATATGACATTGCACGAAGTTATAAGCACAGTTCATTGACCTTATGGACAATTCAGTATTTGATTTAGGGATCTGAAAAGCCACTAGCATGATTGAGTGTTGTAGAGAATGGGGTAGTTGCGTTAAACACAGAATGCATGAAATTTAGCAGATCCATAATTTTTGACATGTTTTGAGGGAAAAGGAGTACACATTGGCATGCCTTATGTCCTGATATACATATTATGTGTTGCATGAGACCGATTTCTGTGGCTTGGCATTTTAAATGCGCTTCATAATGCCGGGGTGCTGGGTTTGATCCCATCTGCGGACGATCTGTCTTGCATTGACTTTGACAATGGTAACGAGAGCTGACCGTTCAGTAAGCAGTGGCAAACTACTGAACATAAAATTTGCTAAGTAAAACCACAAGAGCCGTAAAAAAGGCTGGGGTTGGTTCTGCAAAGTCCTGTAAAGGATACTAAACTAACTTAATATTGTATGAAGAAGCAGAGATCAATGGGTTTAACAATTATAGAATCAGAGGTCCAGAAAGCCACTATCAAGGAATGAATTTTGTAGAAAAAGCAGTAGTTGCTTACCTAAAATATTGACTGCATAAAATATAGAGATCCATATTCTTTGACATCTTTTGAGGGCAAAGGAGCATATTTTTTTTTATACCTCAAGCCTCTGCCGTTGGTTTTGGGTTGAATATTCAGATACATTTGAATATATGTATTTTCGTTTGTATCTTAGTCAAGCCCACTGTAAGAAGTGTCTTGTGATTTAGACATCAGTGGTGTGATCATAAAAGAGATATCAATTTAAGAGTCTGCATTCTTTTCTTTCCTTTATCTAAAAAAACCTGCAACATCTTTGGGACACTACTGCTGCTACACTTTCTTTGACATTACTGTCCCTGCTGTGTGTCTGTTCCAGTTTTCTATTTCTGCAGTGTTATTGCAGTTCTTTTCTAAACTATATCTCTACTGAGCTACACAACAAATGTTTATTAGCTTACATTATTAACAATGTAACACAACTGGACATAGATGACATTGATGTAATTGCCATTACTGTGTGTATCTACCACTTTTGCAGGGTAAGTAGGGGGTCTTTGGGTTTGAGAAATTAGGGCTGTTCGACAGTTGGTAGGTTAGTGAACAGTTATTTAGAAGCTGCAGAGATGGGTTTTTATAGATGAATGATGAGAACACCCTGGACAGATCCAAGTGTAATGAAGATGTCTTGAAAGAAACCGACTCACAAAGAGAACTGATTGCTCACATCAGAAAGAGACGATCTACATTCTTTGGTCATGTAATGAGAAGGAGAAAAGTGGAATACATTGTTACAGTAGGAAGGTTGGAGGGGAAGAGAGGCAGAGAGAAAAGATGCTGAACAGTTTGACATCATGGCATGGAGGATCATCTGTATCACAAATGATTGAAAGTACACAAGACAGAAGGTTGTGGATAGACATCATTACCAACACCACACTGCATGGACTTTAAGAATAAGAAGTATAGGACAAACCAGTTGATCTTGAAACAGAAATTTGTTTTAACCTGCAGTGAAAGGTAATATCTGTAAGTTTAAGTCTACCAGTGTTTTATGTACTGAATAACATTTGGTAGGTTTCAATGTGGAATCTGTGGAGTACAAGAACATAAACTTCACTGTGTGGGATGTTGGTGGTCAGGACAAAATCCGACCTTTGTGGAGACATTATTTTCAGAACACACAGGTAAGTTATTTATGTTGGAGTGTGGGTGGTATATATGGTTGCCTGGAAGAGGGGGGTGGTGTAAGGCAGAGATTGCACTAAGCTGTCACCCTTCAGGTCAGAGTCGAGTCTCAAATCATTGCCACCGGATCCCAAGTCACCAAGAATGCATCCAAGTCAAGTCCCGAGTCATGTCATTTTATGTATCAAGTCCTTTGCAAGTGATGCATGAGACATTGCTATTGGATTAAAGTAGTTAGCCTGTTATAATACTGAACCAACACCCATACTCTTGACCATAACATAACTCTTGACCCATAAGGGTCGTGGAGGTGTATTGATGGAGGCACTAGCACATAAAACCAGTCAACTTTCTCTGTCTTCCGCTTGATGAATAAATGTATGATAACTTAGTCCTGTCCATTTCTTGATGTTGTCATTCCAGGTTCTTCTTTGCCCTCCTCTTCTTCCACTACACCCCAGTGTTCCTTGAAGTACAGTCTTTGCAATCGAATCATGTCTCACCACATGCCCATACCAAGCTAGCTTGTGACGTATGTTTTGTCTCTGACATATTTATTAGTTTTCTATATATAACTGTATATAAAAGCAGATGTCTGATGTGAAATCTGATACATCTAAAGATAATTTAGTCTGTCCTGTTTTATACAAAGATGTTTTAAATGGTGACGTTGATCACCAAACCTCACTGTTGCCGCCTATGATGAACTAGTCGTGCCAAGTTGTCGAAGCTACAAATCGCAAGTTGAGTTGAGGGCCATTGGACAAAACTCAAGTCGAGTCCTAAATCATTAATCACTCGACACATTCAAATCCAAGTCACACGACTTGGGCTTCAACCACCTTCTGATGTAAGGACAGGTGTGTGTGTGAGTGCGTGCATGCATTTGTTTTTATGCAGGTATGTAGGGAGGGGGGGGGGGGGTACATTTTTATAAAAGCATGGGTTGTAAATGAGAGGATGCTCTGGGAGGCTAGTAGGTATGTATTTACACCTGTGTGTTTATATTTCAATGTGTTGTTTTGAGGGTGTAAAAACAGGGTGTGTGTGTTCAGGCATGGGATTTTATGTGTATGATGTGGAAGCCTTGTAAGGTAGAAGTATTCATGCCTGGGTTTGTATTGTAGCATATCTGGGTATGTATTTCAATAATTGGAGCTCATGCAGAATCTTCTTCATCATCATTATGCCTGTTGTGCTTCACTTAGGACTCAGTATAAACTTCTGTTCTTACCTGTGCAATCCTTTGGATATCGTGGATGGAATCCAGTCCAGCACCTTTGGCAGCTTTGACCTCTTTCAACTAGGTCTCAAGGTTTCTCTTGGATATCTCCATTTCCTGTCCATTTATTTACCATTTCATTGCCTGTTTAATGATTCTCTGTCTGCATCATCGGCCTAATATATTGCCTTCTTATTTTTTCCTTGTGCCTGTTGATACAGGCTTGTGCAGAATAAAAAGAACTACATGGTATGAGAGAATCATTAACTCTTTTCAGTCCCAGGCAAATTTCACTTGTACTTATTTTTTTCCAAACTTTAAAGCTTAAAAGCCATACATACTTCAGTCTAAAGGAGTTGAATAGAGACACTGTGGGACAGAAGTATTACACAAGGTGCCACCATTAGGATGAGAATCCCTAAGTGGCAAGTCCAAGAAAGCCTGTTCAACCGTTAGGTTGTATTAAGGCCCCCGATGACAGCCAGGGTCGGCTAGCATTATTTGGTCTTAAGTGGAAATGCAGCAATTTGTTGAAAGAACTAGACAAGTTCCAGTCAATCAAAAGTGAATCAAAAAGTTGGCACTGGATAGGGATTTAAAACAGAAGAGGGGCAAGGTCTAACATATGTTGAAGCATATGTCATTTTACTATATTTTTATTTCTGTGTGCTACTTGACTCATATGTATATGCTTTAAAAAAAAAAAAATTGGAACGCAGGCTGTATATTTCAAAGCATTGCAAGCTGTTTTCCATAGAATGCAGGTATTATCATTATTGGTCATTCTTGTATGTGTTTCTTTTGTCCTCCCAGGGACTGATTTTTGTTGTGGACAGCAATGACAAGGAGAGATTAGGAGAGTCTAAAGATGAACTTACAAAGATGGTTGGTAAAACTTTTCATGATAATTACTATATTTCTTATGTGATTAAAAACCCTTTCTGCTCTAAGTAGCACACAGTGTATGATTGACTACTCATTGCATGTGTCAGTTGTTGTGTCCTGTGTGATTGACTGTGATTGTGTTTGCAGATGAGTGTGTCATGTTTGACTGTTTGTGATGTGTGCAAATCAATGTGTCCTGTATGATTGACATTCAACTGTGTGTACCAGTGAGTGTGCCCTGTG